ATATGCAAGGGCACTCGTATGTTAGGAAAATGCCTATGTCTCTTATCTGTATGGCAAATTTTCCCCAGCTTGAAGTTTATGCTTGGAGTTTGTTTATGCTGTTCCATGTTAAGAATAAGTTTTACATTTTTCTTTGACATTAAAAATTCTTCAAGATTATGATGCATTTTCTAATGCTTTCATAAAATATGAATAAAGAGAAAAAATTTTCTCAGAAATCTGTTTATGATAAGAATTCAGAATAAAATCAGGTAACTAACTTATGGTTAAAATTAAATAAATCATCACCATATGATTATATGTATTGAGGCAAAGAAAAATTTTGGTATTATCCTTCTAGATTCTACTTTAGAGAGAGATGCTATACTAAAATGTTAGCCCTATACTTTTCATTGATTCTAGAACCTCCATAATAATTTTAAAAACAGGTTCAATATTTCAATTAGTTTAATTCCCCATTTTCCAATGATCTTCCTCTGCTTATAGCTTGTTAAAAATAGCACCCAATTATTTAAGGAATTCCCATAATGACTTGGAAATCAAAACTGCCAGACACTGAATTAGGGTAGTCCAAAGAAAATGGACAGCATGATATATACTATTATCTCATTCTATCTAAGAACTATGAGAAAAAAATAGAATTTATGAGAAAAATTGGGAATAAGGGGAATAAGAGAATTTCCACACTGTCATTTAAAATATCAACCAAACAAATGACTTTTGCCTACAAAATTCTGTTACTCCCACCATATATAACAGGGAGGGTAGTACCATTCCTTCAATCATGAAGGTCTCAACATTTCCATATGTTTATCAATCTTTTCAACAGGAAAAGGAAAAAAAAAAGGCAAGATGATAAATACCCTAGAATTCTCACACTCACATACATGTTTAACACATGTCAAAATGACCATCTGTGTATGCACAAAATTGTTTTTTTAATACACTTTATTTGGACGAGAAATTGTTCTTACTGAAGAAATCTCAACTTACCTCCTTGTTCATCCAACATAACCAAAGTTCTGATACCAGCATCTTTACTCTATATTCCAATAATGGTAGCAAAGTTGAAAAAGAGTTAGAGAGAAAAGAGAGAAACAGAAATCAGTAAGGGGACAATTAGCTGTATTAGAAATGGAAAATGAAGAAGGACCAAAGGACAAAAGAGGGAGGAAATATGGCAAGAATATTAGGGGCTGGGGAGGGACTCAGAGGCATGGTCACCTGTGGACTTGCTCTATCAGGGATTCTCAGGGTAGAAGAGGGGGATGTAGGCCAATCTCCATAGGGCAGGATTTCAGTTGGGGATTGGCATGGAATTGGAATACACATATTATACTGCGATTTGGTATTTGAAAAATAAAAATACCTACAGTTTTCATAACACCAATCACAGAAAGCTAATCTATCAAAATCTTCTAGACTAAATCGTCTTCTCTGGCATAATACATCAGAGGGTCTCCATCATCAAATTGGGGAGGGATGCCCCACTGGGAAAATGTGTAAAAATCTTGGGGAGTAAGATTTTCAGGTTTATTGAAGCTAAGGATTGCTTCACAAAGGTTGAGAAACACAGCTCCAAAGGAAACTCGCTCTTCTGTGAGATTTAGAGAAGGGGTTGGCAGATGAGAAATAAAGATTGCTGTCATAAAATAAGGATTTCAGCATAATCTAAAATATATCTATTTCTTATTTCACTTAAAGAAATAGATTTCAGAATAGAGAGATTTAATTTTCTTTACTTTGCAATCTAAAATTCTGCACAATAATATAATGTGAGAAATAATTCATTCACAAGCTTTATTATAGTTCTTTATTACAATTCTCAATGGGAGTGAAGACCTCCCATTTCACAGGGTGAATGTTAAATTGAGTGTAAACTGACATGGCTTACAGTTAGAATTAATTGTTTTTCAAGGAAAGCTCCTGTGGCCCCTAGAATAAATTCCAAAATAAGACATCTCTCATAGCCCCATTTATTTTTCACTGACTTATTTTAAACTAAGAAANACAAATGCTACCTTGTAATGCCATGAACCTTTTAAGAAAGTCAGCAGGTTCTCTGGACGAGGCTTGACTTTGCCTTTACTCTGCCAGGCAGGGATCAATGATTTTACTCTTTAGTTTAGAGTTAATCCCATGGGATTTTCCCAAGAGCTGCAGCTTCAACATCGAAACAAACATATATCCCAGCAAAGACCAACAAAAGGAACAAGAGATAATAAAGTGAAAGGTTAAATCATCCCACGTTAATGCGAAGGCTGTTTCATGGGGATTGCTCTTAGAGAAAAGAAAAGTCCCAGGACTCGATACATTTCCAGGGCCATCTGTCATGCTTAGTGCTTCTTGGTGTCACCTGATACCTGGGTATAAAACAAAAATCCAGGAAGGAATTTCTGAGTAAAACCATTTAGTTGGATAACCTGGAATGGTTCCTTAGGAGGACAGCTATTTCTTGAGACTCCTGTGCAGCTGCAGGATAGAAGCAGTCAACACTTTTTGTGTTCAGGCATAGACAAAATTAGTAGTGCATAACTGGAGAGAAATGTTAAAGCAGTTACAGATCTAAACAACTAAACACAGCATATGCAGAATTAAAACACATTTACGATGGCAGTTAAGATAGTTGTTGACTTATGCTCATCTGTCATTTTACAAAGTCCTCATCTGCTATTATAGTATAAATGGAACGTGTGAAGTCACTTCACTGAGGAATTCAGGAGTTATTCTGGTGTGGCCATAATTGAAATGTTTTAGCTGAGAATATTAACTATCTCATGGGGGAAATCTACTATTCCAGTTTTCTTTTCAGAGAACAATTATTGACGTTCCTGGGAACCATTTGTGTTTAAGAATGATATATTTTTATATTTTTGCATATGTACGGTTCTTTTGGCAAATTTTTCTCTAGATTTTCTTCCTCAAAGTGCAATGAATTTTGCAACTCAAGTAAGCATGTTATTCACTTTCTCTTTTTTTGATCCCAGGTTTGTATATATCATTTTCCACATTTTTATATCAATGCCTTTACAGTTAGGGGAGAATAAAAGACTATCCTAAACTCTTCCCAAATCTTTTCTCTATTGCAATGCTCCTTTTTCCATCCCCTGCACATATAAATTATTAACTAAGAGTTAATAAGGTGGAACTAATTATTTGAGTGTATATGTATCAATTTAGCTCTGGAAATGAGGTACCACTCTTCAATATGGGCACCTGTTGCTTGATTAGAAAAAAAAAAAAGCAAACGTTTTACTGCATCCTGAGTTTCAAAGTCTGGGACACTGTTACAAAGATCAAGCCAGTAAATCTTACAATTATAGCAAATTCATTTGGGGCGTTCTGAAGACTGCCATAGCCATTGTAATTTGTTCAAAACACAACTCTACTAGACGTTATTTGCATATACATTTTGACAACTTGTATTTTAAAAATTGGGGCGAAAGCATTGGGGTTGATGTTCAATTGCTTTCAAAATACTTTTCTTGAATTTTTTTTATTGATTGGTGTATACTTATGGAAAACTTTGAATACAAAAAAATAATATAGAAACATAAGTCCTTACATGAGAGCCATGAGGGTGTGCCCCTCCGGTGTCCCTCCAAGAGGGAATCTGCCAGGAGGAGTGTACTTAGCTGACACCTCCAGCTGCTGCACCTATGGGATATGCCACTGCATTTACATAGAAGCCATGTTCTCCCTTGGGATGTTTCCAGCCAAAGGCTGATCACATTGGGGTTACCAGAGCTGGGGCATTCCTGCTCAAAATGGGGTTACTCTTTGGGTAGTCTTTGCTCCTGGGCTCCCCTTCAGCCTGGTGGGGACATTTTCTGTACAGCACTGCAGTCTGAGACCTTTCTTTCCCCATCCTTCTTCCTCTCTCTTCTCGGACTCTTACAGGTATCAGAC